TGTCTTTTCTTCCCAAATGAACGATAATCTTGCTGGGTACAGAATTCTTGGTTGAAATTGCTTTTCCCTTAATGCTTTGAATATATTCTCCCATTCTTTCCTTGCTCACATTGTTTCTGGTGAGAGATCTGTCATTAGTCTGATGGGATATCCTTTGTAGGTAACTTGCTGTTTTTCTCTTGCCCGTCTTAATATCTTGTCTTTGTCTGTGGTTTTGGTCAATCTGGTTATAATGTGTCTTGGAGAAGATCTTGGGTTGATTCTATTTGAGGTCCTCTGTACTTCTTGGGAATGAATCTTTGAGTGCCTCTCCAGGTTTGGAAAGTTTTCTTGCAGAATTTCATGGAATAGATTATCAATGCCCTTATGAGTTTCTTCGCCTTCTGGGATGCCTATTATCCAGATGTTTGGATGTTTAATTGTATCTACTATTTCTCGTATATTATTCTCAAATTTTTGGGCCATTTTCTCAGTCTTCGTGGTGGATTTTTCTAGGCCAGCAATTTTCTCTTCTACATCTAAGATTCTCTTTTCTGTATGATCTAGTCTGATTTTAATACTTTCAAGGGAAATTTGGACTTTTTGTATTATAGTCTTCATCTCTAACAGTTCCATCTGATTCTTTTGTAATGTGTGAAATTCCTCTTTTAGATCTTGCATGAATTTCCTCACCTCCTGCAACTCTTCAACTCCTTTCTCCTTCCTCTTCAGTAGTTCCTTCTCTCTCTTCTCTTCCATCTCTGTAAGCTTTGCCATTATGAATGTTCTGAATTCTTTATCAGACATTTCCATGACTTCCATTGAACTGTGTGTGGATGAAGAGGAGTTATCCTTTTCCCTTAGAGGAGAGGTATTTTCCTGCTTCCCCATATTTCTTGTGGTCCTGCAGCGATTTCTAGTCATCTCGCGGATGGTTGATTTCATCCCAAACTTGGACGTTCAATCTGAGGGTCGAGGAGTGTGAAGAAAAGGAAACAGAGGGAGGAAAACAAAAGCAACAACAGAAAAAAAAAGACAACAAACAAAGAAAAAGAGAAAAAAATGAAGAGAAAAACTTTTAAATAAAACTAGAAAAAAAAGAAAAATTAATATTCAAAAAATTTCAAAAAAAAACACAAAATTACAAAACTATGCAGTGCACGAGCGCACCGCGCAACATGGCTAGATCCCAGGAGCCATGGAGCTGGTTCTTGAAGAAGGGCTGTTCTGTTCCCTTCCATCTCTCCTCGGCGGGGTGAGGGAGAGGGACTTATTAACAAGATAAAGGGCTAGGCAGGGCCAACAGGCCCAGAAAGATGCCTCACCTTAAACGAAATTCTAAAAAGCAAAAATTAAAAAAAAAAGAGAGAGAGAGAGAGAGGAGTCAGAGACAGAGGTAGAGAGAGACAAAGTCAGATACAGAGAGAGGAGGCCTGAGAGGAGTCTTCCTACCATGCGAGTTTTCTATACTGGAGGCTGAATTATCAGTGGGACCTCTTCATTCCTCCATTTCCCCCAAAATGGCTAGATCGCGGGAGCCATGGAGCTGGTTCTTGAAGAAGGGCTGTTCTGTTCCCTTCCATCTCTCCACGCAAGTTTTCTATACTGGATGCTGAATTATCAGTGGGACCTCTTCATTCCTCCGTTTCCCCCAAAATGGCTAGATTGCAGGAGCCATGGAGCTGGTTCTTGAGGAAGTTCTTACCTTATTTTCCATAGAAGACTCACACTGGAGAAAAATCCTATGACTTTAGCCATTGTATGAAAAGCTTCAATCATTAAACAAACCTCAGTAAATGAGCAAATTTATACAGGGGAGAAACTTTATTCCTGTTCTCAGCATGGAAAAAACTTTCATCAGAGTTGACAGGAAGAAATCCATATAAAGGAAAATATATTTTGGTGTATAGAATGTGGGGAAACCTTCTCAATAAACACAGACTTGGTGCTTCTTCTGAAGAGTCATGATTCTATGAGGCCATATAGTTGCAAAGAATGTAGGAGAAGATTTGGCCAGCTCTCAAATTGTACCTGACCTGAGAAAATCCTCATGGTAGGACCCAAAAGCAGAAGTGAGACCAGGAAAGGTCTGATGGTCCTACCTCAAACCGAAAATTTTGTAAGAAATTCTAAATTCCCAGGCTATCTGAAAAGATGCAGATATGAAAACCTCATTATAGCCAAAATTGTATATATACCTGTGTTGGCCAAAACCTCAAATTGTTAGAAAATTCACAGCAAAGGAAACAACCTTAAGGGTTAGACCTCAGTTAGCATCCAGGCTTTTTGGACTAGGGATCTTTTGTTTGTAAAGTTGTACAACAATGTACAGATCATACATCCCTTTTCTGACAAAGACTGAATGTTTAGTCTGGAAGCTGCTTACCTGTAAGGTGAACAGAATATCTCATGTCTATTGAAAGTTTATCCAATTTTTTTCCCACATGGGAATTCACACTTGAAAAAAAAAAAAAGAAAAAATGCAAAGTTCCTTGCCTGTAACTATGTTTCTCTGAAAAAAAAAATCTACTGAGTTGTAAAGTCAATAGCTTCTAATAGCAATTCATATAACCCTGATAAAGCTTGATTGTTGAAAGGAATTGTTTACTTTGAATATAGGAAAGCTACAGCATTTAAATGTCAAAGACTTATTTGTATGTGATCAAGACTAATGATCAATAACATTTGCAATTTGTGGTGAAAACTGACTGTTTTACAGAAATATTTCATAGTTTAAGAATATCTGTTACTTCTTACTGTATTGTGTTCAGCTGTTTATCTTTCAAGCAGCCTTATGGTGTTGCTCCCTTGCCAAAAGAGGTTTGTGGTTCAGGCACAGCCAGTGTATCGGTGGGAAACCCTTGTCCCTCTGCTGAGCCACAATCTTACCTGCTAGAAAGGAAATCCCAAGAGTTTCAAAAGGAAGGCTGTACCTGGATGAAGGCAGAGAAAAGTTGGCTTAAATCTAGGGCTTCCCCTCTACAGTCATCAGAACCAGTCATCAGAACTTTTACAGCAGGGTTGTCACTACCTCACAGGCAGGGAATTTTATTGTTAGAAATTATGTCTCTAGAGGTCAGCTCACATTGCCTCTAAAGAGACAGAATTCCAAGAGTCTTCATTATGGTGGCTATTAGTTGTCTTTGGCCTCCTGATATCCAGACCCTCCTGTCCCCTCTGCCTTTAGGCAAGGCCAATGTTGCCTTCATGGGACCAATCCTGTGGTATAAACTAGGGATTCTTGATCAGTTTTGCTTTAGGTTTCCCAATGTCTTACATTGGTATTTGGATTGGAATGGGTTAAATCTATAGACCGGTTGGGAAAAATTAACTTTACAAAAACTTTTCCTATCCAGAAACATAGCTTTTCACTTATTAGAATAGTCCTTAGTAAATTTTTCTAATTTTTTCACTTATTTTTGCTATTGCAAATATTTTTCCATTGTATCTACTACAAAACCACAGATAACACTTGTTTCTGGGGACCTCTTATGCAAGTAAAGTGACCAGCCATCTTCATTTGCCCAGAACTGAAGGTATTCTTAAGATTTGGTACTTTGTCCCGGGCACCTCGGATGAGTTAGCCACCTTCCTCAGTTCTCAATGTGCCCACCTTCTAATGTTAAAACCTGAAGATCAGCCTGTGCCTGAGTTTCTGTTTCTCACACTCTCTCCTATTGCCCTGGCCTCATCTTCCACAGGTCAGTCACTCATCCTCACTGGCCAGCCTCAGTGACAAGACCCAGTTCCCATCCTTCCTTCGGACCCTTGCCAGTGACTTCACATCCTCCCACATGGTGGCCCAGCTGGTGCTCCACTTCCGCTGGTCCTGGGTGGGCGTTCTGGCACAGGATGATGACTTTGGGCAGCAGGGGAGCTCTCTGGTAACCCAGGAGCTGGGCCAGGCTGGGGTCTGCATTGAGTTCCACCTGCACATCCCCTCTCAGCAGTCCCTGGGGAAGACTGATACCATCATCTACACCATGGAGAGCTGCACTGCCACCGTCATTCTGGTTTTTCTGAGCAACTCAAATTTCCAGCTCATCCTGCAGGGTTTGCTGGTTCACCATCATATCTTGGGAAAAGTCTGGGTCAGCCAGGACACACTGCACATAGCAATTGCCCTGAGCATGCCGGGCGTTTCCCAGGTTCTACGTGGTTCATTCAGCCTTCTGCAGCACAGCACCCAGGTCCCCGGGTTCCCTGAGTTCCTTGCTCAACTGCATCCCACCCACACCCCAGAAGACATGTTCATAGAGAGGTTCTGGGAGGAGACCTTCAGATGCATGTGGCCCCATAAGATTCAAGGACTTGAGAAGAACAGCAAAGCAGCAGAGACAGTCCAGTTTTGTTCAGGGAATGAGAGTCTAAGAGACCAGAATTATCCTTTCCAGGAACTGAGTAAAGTGGACATTGGATATATGGCAGTCTACAGCATTGCCCATGCCCTGAAGGAGCTGCTAGCCTGTGAGAATGAGGATGGGGTATGTACAGACCCTCAGCACTTCCTTCCCTGGCAGGTGAGAGAAATGTGTGGAGTGGATGATTCAGGCAGTGGGCAGGATGCTCACTTTGTGTTAACTATGGAGGTATGAAAGAGTCAACTCTCTTCAGCCTTTTGTGTACAGTGAAAGCCTCCTTCGCAGGTGCTCTGGATGAGAAGTTCAGAGTCTACACTAGCTAAGTGGACTCAGATTGGTCATATCCATATGGGGTTGTTCAATTTAGCACACATAGGATACCTAGTTAAATTTCAATTTCATATAAACAACACATTCATTTTATTATGTGTCCCAAAATTAAAATTTTATAAATAATCAATTATTGTTAGTATTTATGTGCCTCAAATTGGAATTCAAGTAAATGGCAAATAATTTTTAGTATATCTCAAATATTGTATGAGATATACTTTATAAAGTCATTCTTCTGTTTAAATTACAATTTAACTGGGTTTCCTATATTTTATCTGGTGCGTCTATACATTAAGCTCAATAAACTCATGTCAGAATAGGACAAAATGATAGTGGTTACTAGAGGCAGGGAAGTAATGGGAGAGGGGAAATATGAGATGTTGGTTAATGTATTACAGGGTTTCTTGTTAAGGTGAAGAAACTACTCTAGAATTACATAGTAATGATAGTTGTACAACATTTAGCACATACTAAAAACCACTTTATTGAACAATATACCAAGTTAAAATGATGAATTTAATATTGTGTGAGTTTTATCTCAATAAAAAATATTTTTAGAAATAGGGCCAGCCTTGTAGCCTAGTTTTTAAGGAAGCTGGATACTGCATGGCTAACTGGTTCAAATCTCAGACTCAGTTACTTGAAAAATAAGCTGGTGCACGTCAATGAACACCCAAAATCCCAACAGGATGGAGAGATGGAGGAGAAAGGATTGAGGCATGATCATGCCCCACTGAAGATGGTTTCTCTCTCTGGTGAGCACACACGTACTCTGGCAAATCAAAAGAGGACAAAATAATAGTTAACCTACAGAACTGTCGGGTATCTTAGTCAGATTATGGTGCAATCAACATTTGCGCTTTATTTTTTAATGGAAGGCACATGCTTTATAGAGAGATAGAGAGAGGGGAAGGAGGGAAAGCACCCTCCCCCCGCCATGAGGGAATTGTCACACTGGAATCCCTTCTCCTCCATCTCTCCTTCCTTTCAGGATTTTGAACACACAAGCACACATGTCCAGTGTGTTTTGCAAGCTGCTGAGTGTGGGACTCAAAACTGTGGTCAGCCATGTGAAGTCTGGCTTAATCACCAGGCCACAGAGCCAGCCTGCAAAAGCCATTTGTACACCAAAAATTTCTTGCACACAGAACATAACTCATATTGACATGATGGCTTTCTGTTCCCACTATCCTGAAACTGATTGCCTCAGTATTTACCAAGGAATAATCAAGGCAGAAATTTTCATCCTTGCATCTTTGGATCATAGTTATTTTGTGAAAAAAGAGACAATATTAATTATATCTCATTGGCTTCTTCAAGGACTAATGAACTGCTACAAAGAAAGTTCTCCACTCCTGGGAACCAGCAGTTAGCGTAATGGCTATGTCGCTGGACTCCCACGTAGTCGACCGTGGTTCGCGTCCCGGACCCGGTGGCTTAAAACTCACGCCGGGCGCGTGTGTGTGCGTGCCCAAGATCCTGAGAGGAGAATGGAGGAGAAGGGGTTGCAGCATGGCCATCTCCACTTGGGGGGTGATTTCTCTCTTTCTGTCTCTCTGTCTTTCTGGCAAGCACATGCACCCTACAGCAAAAACCTATCAAAAGAAAAATTTAACAGGATGATTTATGTTTTATCTAATGGGCAACTTTATCAAGTGACTTGTCTCATTATCATCTTATATAAAGAGGTCATGTGCCAATTAAGGCCTCCCTGAGTGGAGCCTCTCTATGTCTCTGTTGGAAGGCTATTTTGAACCACCTGGTGGAATCAAAGTGTGGTCTCACCAGTTATACTTTGGTTATTCCAGGAATGTGAGCACTTCCTCTAGCTCATCTCTTCCCTCAGCATCACAGGCAAAGATATCCTGTTACACCTATTTTCTTTACTAATAAGTATATCTTAGAGACTTTCTCACAATCACTAAACACACAGATAGGCCTCTACATACTGTATATTATTACACCTTGAATAAACTTAATGCTTGATGTACGGGTTTCCCACCCAATGTACCCAGCAGTGATTCCTGACCTTCATAGCTTTCCTGAGCTGTTCATAGGTAGGGGTCCTCCTTGACCACTTTTACAAAACCAGAAGCTGGTGGGTACTCTAGCCTTTTTAAAGTAAGGCTACTGGAGCCAGCAGGTAGTGTGGTGACTAAGGCACAGGACTCCCACATGGCCGACCGTGGTTCTAGTCCAAGACCTGGCTGCTTGAAACTTACGCCAGGTGTGTGTGTGTGTGTCCAAAATTCCAAGAGGAGAATGGAGGAGAAAGGATTGCAGTGTGGCCATCTCCCTGAGGGATGATTTATCACTTCCTCTCTCTCCATCTCTCTCTCTCTGTCTCTCTGGTGAGCACACGTGTCTTGTAGCAAAAATATCTCAAAAAAAAAGTCAGTCTACTCGTATACTATAAGTGTTGTATTCAAATCCACAAGAAAATAAGAAGACATCCAGTTTTAGCCAAATTAGAGAAGTTTTTTTTAAGCCAGCGGCTGCAAGAGGACTTGTGTCACTCCAAAACCCCACAGCCCTGAAGCAGGGATGAGGAAGGATTATGAGGGCAAAAACCACAAAGGGAAAAACCTACACATCTAAGAAAGTACAAGCCTTGAGCTATGCAAAAGCAGTTTACAAAAGCTGAAAAAGTGAGTTATCAGGAAGGACAGTTATAATTGGCTGCAGCTAATGGTGACAAATACTCAGTTAGGAGGACAGGGATGGACAGCAGCATTCATCTACTGGTGATAAGCATTCAGTGAGGAATTTTCAGTGACGAATTTTCAGGAGACACATATGATCAGGTATAGGGAAAGGAGAATGGCAGCAGTCATATTCAAAATTGAGGTGCTAATGCTTCATTTCCACTTCTCTTTTACTGGGATCAAATCACTGATTCTTTAGTATTAGCTGGGGGGAGGGGGTGATAGTCTCCTCTAAGAAGTTTAATCATGGTAGTCTAACAGGAAAATGCTAGCAGAATTTTTTTTTTTTTTTTTTTTTTTTACCATTTCCAATTAGTCAGACTTATAGCAAAAAACAAAGTAAGGGGTTATTACAAATGGTCAGGGAGCGGGGCCGGCAAGTGGCGTGGTGGTTAAAGGTGCTGGATTCCCACATGGCTGACTGTGGTTCAAGTCTTGGACCTGACAGCTTGCTTTCTCACTTTCTCTCTCTCTCTGTCCCTCTCTGGTCAAATTGAAACAAACAAATGAATAAATAAATAAAGTTAAATGGGATAATTCTTTTTTAAAAAAATGGTCTGGGAGCATTCGAGACAGTCCATGTATGTTTTTCTGGGGAGATGCATCCTCAATCTTCTGTCATGCATGGATTGGTCAACTTACAGAGTGACCAAAGCAGGGTTGTAGTCCTCTCAGGTCTCTGGGATCATGCCTTGCTTTTTCCAGATGGTCAAGGCTAGGTTTTAAGCTGAAGGCTGGCCAGCTTTGAAAGGCCAGATGGATACTAAAGAAGGAGTCCTGCTAACAATGAGTCAAAATTGTCTCTTAATGATTGTGGCTATGATTTACCTATTACAAAGATACTATGCCAGGGAAAGCATATAGGAAGAGTCCTGTTATTAAATGGACCAAAATGGGGGCTGGCATGGTGGTTAAGGGCACTGGACTCCCACATGGCCAACCACGATTTGAGTCCCAGATCTGGTGGCTTGCTTTCTCACTTTCTCTCTCTCTCTCTCTCTCTCTGTCCCTCTCTGGTTAAATTTTTATTAGTTAATTAATAAAGTTAGTTAAGTTTAAAAAGCCAAATAAGTTTAAGAAGCCAAAATGATCTGTTAATGTATGTGGGTGTGACTCACCTCAGACACTATGGAAGAGATTTTGGAAATAGGAAAGAGCAATCAGACTTCTGTCCTCAGTTCTCCCTGTTGGGCAAATATCCCACAGTGCTAGGAAACCTCATTCTTAGGAGTCAAGTCAATCCATCATCCATTGTAATAGGCAGTAGAGTCCTGGGAGAGGACATGTCTGACTGGTTCAATAACTACTTGTCTCTGGGAAAGGGAAATAGGCTTTAAAGTGTGGAGTAGATGTGTGTCATGGGCTATCTTTGAATTTTTCCTCTTCCTGTATCTGGCATAGCATTTACACAAAATATATAGTAAAAACGCACAAACAAGGATTATATTGTAAACAGAGTGAGAGGCATTAAACAGCCTAACTAACTAAAGAAACCTTGACATGTATAATTAGACTTATAATATGTCTACCTTGATTATTAATAGTACTAGTTCAGGGTCTAGGAAATTTGGGTTCTTGTTATTACATTTAGACTGTGCTTTAGTACTGAGTAGTGTGGTCCATTGTTTTATGGCCACCTCAGATACCATTTGTCACTTTAAAATCCTTTTATAAAAATCTTCTTCATTCTTTTTAAAAATTTTTTAGTTGTTTCTCTTTTTTTAATAAATCTTAATTCTTTATAAGTCCCTCTTAGACCTTCTTTAACATAACTCAAACTTTCTGTGACATGGTTTATACCTTGATTATTTGTCCCTTTTTACTTTTTCATTTTGGAATAATTTAGTCATTTTACTTTAGGACAAAAATTCTTATCATACAAAACTCTTGTTATATTGAAATGTTCTCTTTTTTTTACTTCTTTTTTTTTAAATCACAAATATACCTTTATACTTATTATTTTCTTTCCACATCTCTTTCCTACTTACTGTTTCCTTTCTACCTTTTTCTGTTTCTCTTATAAATTTGTAAGGAAAACATTTTGTTTGTCATTTTAAGAATTGCCTTAGGCTTGCCAAAGTCTATCTTTTGTTCTTTCCCCTACCTGGGAAATCCGACGTCTCT